GTCTGCTTCTTCCTCTGACCCTCCCCCCATCTCATGTGCTCTCTCTCTCTCTCATTCTCTCTCTCTCAAATAAATATCTTTAAAAAAAAAATGAAATAATGTTAAAATAACCATGGAACCAAAATATTTGCCAACCACAAGAAAACTCAATTAGTAAAATTTTATTGTGCATTGTGAGTTGGGATTTCAGGTCACTTCTTAGAAGACTACTTATTGAAGATTAAGGTATCCTTTTGTCTGTGATTTTCCATTCCCCACTGTGTATAGTGCAGCCTCACTCCCCAGCACTCAGGGAATGCTTTTCTCTAGAGATAATTTTTTATTATTTTTTTTAAAGATTTTATTTATTTGACAGAGCGAGAGAGAACACAAGTAGGGGGAGTGGCAGAGGGAGAGGTAGAAGCAGACTCCCCACTTTGCAGGGAGCCAGGATGTGGGGCTCAATCTCAGGACCCTGGGACCCTGACCTGAGTGGAAGGCAGACACTTACCACCCAGGCCCCCCTAGAGATAATTTTTTAAAAACCTGCTTCTACCATAAGCCAGTGGTTTCTACTCATCTGGGACTGCTTTAGCTCCCACTTAGAATCCCTGGTTTAGGCTGGAGTCTTTTCTGCCATTAGGCATATCCAGATCTTTTGAAATGGCTTATACCTAAGGAAAGGAGACCAACATGAAAAGAAACATTCAGGGTGGGGAAGATAGGACCAAAAACTGTAACTGGGATTTAATTACAAGAGTTGGAGATCAGAACAGATCTTTAAGCAGACTTGGATAATTTCCTGCCATGGACACAGTCTCTGGCCCATGGCTTCTTTATCAGTCAAGCACAAGACAGGGGCAAGAATTTCTAGGTAGCTGTTTCTGTCCAAGAGCTCAGTCTGTAAGTACTGATCTAGAGTTCAAGCTCCACTCCTGTCAACACTTCCAGGAACACTGCAGGTAGGTCCTCCAGGATTTTTGGCATCCTGCAGGGAATAATGGTCAAGTCATGCAGTTTGATATTTAAAAAAGGGGGGGACGGAGTCTGAGTAGGAGAAAATGGAACTATATCAAACAGAGGAATATGCTCAGGGGTTTTAAAAATTTAAGCATTAGTTTTGGTTAACATTTCAGCATTTGGGGAAGGAGTTTGCATTTTCTTAACTGCAATTCTTCTGGAGTGTAAGATTTTCCTTTGGAAAAAGCTATTGGTTCCTTGACTTATTTTTTTTAAAAAAAAAAAAAAAGGCGCTTTAAGACGTTTTTTTAAACGTCCTAGACAGCAGTGGACGCCCTTCACAGCACATGACCTTCACCGAGGGTTTCCCTCACACTGGGGTTGTGTGTGGTTTTGGAACAGCAGTTTCAAAAAAACGGTCAACTGCAGCACACTGCCGGGTCTCCCAAAGCCCCACTCCCCTCCCCAGGCGCTGGAGAGGCGGGAACGGAGGGGGGTAGGGGTGGGGCAGGCACACCCGCCGGCCGCGGGCACGGGCCTGCAGCACTGCGCAGGCGCGGGGCCAGGCTGGGGGGCGGGGCCGGAGCGTAAACCGGCACGCTTTTCCTACCTAAGGTCCCCGGGTCAGCTTCTGATCTAGAGCCTCCTGGCCGTAAGTGAAGCCAGGAGATCGGGCTTCTGGTTTTCGGCAGCTTTGCCTCGCTCTGCACCCACAACTTGTCCCCAGGGCTCCTCACTCTCCTGCACTCAGCCGGTCTAGGACGGCCCCGCACTGCATCCATCAGGTAGCTGCTGGTGCCCTGCCCGGCATTCTTCCTCTCCAGAGCCCCGTTTCCTGCTCCTCTTGTCACTGAGGTCTCACTCCTGCAGACTTGATGGGGGTACATGGGCGAAGTGACCATCAATTTGCCATGTAGGGTGGGACTGGGAATCCCAAAGCGACTTCACCTTACAGATGCGTGACCTTGGGTGGTTATTTACACTTTTTAAACCACCTTTGAAAAACGGACACACATTTTGGGCGCGTGGGTGGCTCAGTTGTTAAGCGTCTGCCTCGGGCTCAGGTCATGATCCCAGGGTCCTAGGATCGAGTCCCACATCGGGCTCCCTGCTCGGCGGGAAGTCTGCTTCTCCCTCTCCCACTGCCCCTGCTTGTGTTCCCTCTCTCAATGTGTCTCTCTCTGTCAAATAAATAAAAATCTTTAAAAAAAAAAAAAAAAAGAAAAATGGGCACACATTTTAAAATGTTAATTTTCTTCTAGGGCCGCAAGTCAAAAAGGCCTTCCTCACCTACACCTAGCCAATTGAAATGGCCATTCGACTTAAAATTTTACGTAGTTAAGTTCCCATAAAATTCATCCTATACTCTGCTGCCAGATTACTTATCTTGAATATAAGCTTGTTACCGCCACTTCCAATTAATAAACATTAGAAAAAAATGACTCCAAACTGTCTTTCCAAACTTTGTCACTACCCTTCTCCTCTTACACATTTGGGTCCTCATAACATTATTTATGCCTCTTTCTCCACTAGTTTCCCTTTCTAAATTTCTGTTAAAATCCTACGATCCTGCACAGCCAACTCAAATGCCATCTCTTTCAGGGAGCCACTTAGGATTTTCCCAATGTCCTTGTTCTCTTCGAGACGAGGCTTTTTAATTCTACTGGAAAATGGTTAATGGTACCTGACACTATCTTGTAATACAGTTGGGCATCTATGTTATCCTTTCTACCTATCACCCATTTTTAAATTCCTTGAGAGCAGGAATTCTGACTTTTTCTTAAGATTTTATTTATCAGAGAGAGAGAAAGCACAAGCGGGGCGGGTGGGGAGAGAGCGGCAGGCAGAGGGAGAAGCAGGCTCCCCACGGAGCAGAGAATCCTACGCAGGACTTGATCCCAGGTCCCTGAGGTCATGACCTGAGCTGAAGGCAGACGTTTAACCAACTGGGCCACCCAGGCGCCCCTATGTTCTTTCATTTCTTCACAACAATCCTGTCAGGTCGGTGTTACCTCCACTAAGCGATGAGGAAGCTGAAGCGCAAGAGTGACTTCCCCGTGTAGCAGAGCTTTGAATGGCAAACGTCGCATTTTGAACTCTCTTCCATCCTATCAGCATTAGTTATTGAAAAAGTAATCAGTACTACTACAAGATCCTTTTCCAGAATCAAAAGAGATGATGTTCACAAATGCCTTTTCCAAACTATAACATGTTACTACTCAAGGGTAAGGTATTAATTACAAGGACATCATAATCATAATAAGTAGAACAAATAGGTATCCAATCTCATTTAGAGCACAATGCCTTGAATAAACTGTCCCATGGCATGGAGGTCATCGATAGGCATTTTAATCTTACATTTCATGTGGATGTACTTTTAAAAAAAAATAATGGCAGCGGTGCCTGGGTGGCACAGTTGGCTGAGGATCGGACTCTTGGTTTTGGCTCAGGTCATGATCTCAGAGTCCTGGGATCAAGCCCTGAATCATGCTCCCTGCTGAGCAGGAAGTCTGCTTGCTTGTCTCCCTCTCTCTCTGCCCCAGCCCCCACTCTCTCTCTCTAAAATAAATAAATAAATCTTTAAAAAAGTAATGACGGGGCTCCTGGGTGGCTCAGATGGTTAAGCGTCTGCCTTTGGCTCAGGTCATGATCCCAGGGTCCTGGGACCGAGCCCCGCATCGGGCTCCCTGCTCAGCGGGGAGTCTGCTTCTCCCTCTCCCTCTGCTGCTCTCCTTGCTTGTGCTCTCCTGCTCTGTCAAATAAATAAATAAAATCTTAAAAAAAAAAAAAAAGGAATGACAGGGTGCCTGCATGGCTCAGTCAGTTGGGGTTCTGCCTTCGGCTCAGGTCATGACCACAGGGACCCTGGGTTTGGGCCCGCACTGGGTCCCCAGTAGGCAGGGAGCCTGCTTCTCCCTCTCCCACTCCCCCTGCTGTGTTCCCTCTCTCGCTGTGTCTCTGTCAAATAAATAAATAATTTTTTAAAAAAGTAATGATATTTAGCTATTTATACTGGCAGGTACTGAATCTGTTACATATCCTTTATGGAATTTAATATTCATATGGCACTAGGATGTGTTTTACAACAAAAGACAAAAATAAGACATGCTCCCTGCTCAGAAGGCTTACAATCTGAAAGGCATTAAGATACAGGGGATATAACTATAGGGACAGAAAACTTTAAAAAAAATTTTGGCATGAAAAATGAGTCTTTGGTGATAAACAGGTTTTAGAATGGGATATTAAAGGGAAGGTACTCGTTTGCATACTGTGAGAAACGAGTGATTTGGTTTCTGGGACATAATGAACAAGTGATTCTCAGCTGATGGCAAGAAGATGCCTCCTTGGATATCAGAATATTTTGGGCTAGAACAAAGATGCTATGAAGTTTCAAATCAAGATGGTACCTTGAGCCCTTGATTTGATTGAGTTTCCTTTATTTGTAAAATTCAGTTAACACTGAAGGGAATGTGGGTCTTTTTTGGTTTCTAAAAGGAAGAATGCTTTAAAAAGAGAGATGAGAGGTACCAAGATGAAGACCAAGAAAAATAAACAGTTGCAGTGTAGTGCTAAAAATAACAGGGAGGGGCGCCTGGGTGGCTCAGTCGTTAACCATCTGCCTTCAGCCCAGGTCCTGATCCCAGGGTCCTGGGATCGAGCCCCGCATCGGGCCCCCCGCTCTGCGTGAAGCCTGCTTCTCCCTCCCCCACTCCCCCTGCTTGTGTTCCCTGTCTCGCTGTGTCTCTCTCTCTGTCAGATAAATAAAATCTTAAAAAAAAAAAAACGACAACAACAGGGAAAACGACAGAAATAAAGGGGAAGAGTCAAAGGTAAGGATCACAAAGCAATGGGAAGAATTCACAGGATGACAAGGTTAAACAGGAAGGTCAGGTGAAGGAAGACTTAATATGAAATTTGTTCTAGGAGGAATTATTAAAAGGTTTAAATATGTAACCCAAGGCTCCTACTGAAGCAAAAAAATTTAAAATAATTGTGATTAAAAGGAAAAATATAATGTAAAATATTTATTTAATAAAAATAATTTTATAATCTATACAGAATTGAATAAAAAGTACAACAAATTACTTTCACTTCTTTGCAAAACTGCATACAGTACAACTTACAAACTGGGCTCAGCATTCTGTAAATATGGCCACACACCAGGATATGAACTTACTATTGTCTTAAATAAGTAAAGGCTCCAGTTGTGCGACCATGAACTTTGAATTAAATTCCAGGGAAATATTGCTTTGGTAACATGAAGAGTTTGATTGTACCACAGTGCATTTTATTAAAAAACATTAAAATAAAATCCCTCAAACACCACTTTTCTACCTGTTTCTGAATAAACAATTCCCTACGTAGCAAAACAAAAGATACAATATAAAATTAGAGGCCGTCCTTTTATGACATCACTTCTTCCCTTAGTGTTCTGCTCTTGCCTTTGATCAGAAAGGAAAGTGAGTGGAAAATGGCCTATACTTACCCTGTTTCATTTACTTCTAGTGTTCCCACTTATACTAAATGAATATGTCAACTTTGGAATCTTGATACTATTATTCACACTGCTTACCTATGTTATTCTAAATAAGTTAACCTAGATTTTTTTTTCAAGATAAGGCAACAAAGTCGGCTTTAAAATGGTTTTCATGTCTCACATACACTAGCAGCCACTTGGTTGACTAATTACAGAATTCGATGCTTACATAATAACATTTTTCCAGTACCTTGGAAATGAAATCACTAGTAATTATTATTTTAAGCAGACATTCCAAGATGGTCCACCCTTAGAGACAAAGGCAGATTTAATGTACAAAACGCAGGAATCAAGTCTATCCTAGTTCCTGTCCCACTGAAATCAGTAAAAAGAGGCTCAGTTTGTGAAAAGGACTTTTAATAATCCAACAAATCTAAGTCCTAATGAAATCTATATCTTGGATAAGAAGGACAAATAATAAATAAGCTATAAATAGAGATGAAGATATTAAAAAAAGACTTCCATTTTATTTTGGAAATAAAAGGGAACACGAATACAATATGGGCTAGTTGTTATCTTTAGCTCATATATTAACTTTTCATCATAGAATTAAAAGTCCTTCATACTGAAGACTAAAAGACAGGCAAAACATACCTTAAGTGTTCTGATTAGGTCTCTTCATTTAGATTATTAGCAAGCCTCAAAACTTGCCTTATTTTCTAACTAAATGAGCTTCTCTGAGAAGCATATGAATAAAGCAAAAGTGTATTTCTAAAGATAATCTACATAAGTACAAAACTGTCAAGGTGGAAACAACATTCATACAATGAATTTTTAAAAATAACTTAAAATTAGAAATGACACACATTCCTAATACGACAGAACACCAAACCAGAGCAAATATTGCCAGTGATAACAACTTTCTTCTGTAGAAACACAAATGCACATGAGTAACACAGAAGTAAGAATTAAGTTGAATAGAGGCAGTTGCTGTTAGAACCTATTTCTATTCTGACCTGTAATATCCCATGGCCCCTGGGAAGCCCTAGTCCCACCACGCCAAGCCCCTGGCTGATCAGATACAGGGAAGTAACTTGACCTATGAAACACCATACTCACTTGCTATCAAGTATAAACGCCATGTGGTGCTTGAGTGCTCTTATTACTCGGTTTTCAAAATCAAGTTCACTTTTGAATCAGAACAAAGTAATTCTTAAAACAGCTTTCATAAATAATCCACGAGATAAACTTCACCTCTGGCTCCTCTAAACAGTATTGTTCACTCTAGGAACACAGAGTGTAGTCAGTTGGCTGCTTTGAAGCCTTAAAAAGCACATTCATGAATATACATCTATATATTAAAACATTAAATACATCCAGGCACAGTTGCTGTGCAGTTTTTGCTCTAAGAAGCAGTTTATAAGCCGTGTATTATGACGTAGTTACTTGAGAACTCAATTCTGCATCTTCTTGCTTTCTACATTTCTTCATAATACTAACTGTACCATTAGCCAGGAAAACCACAGCGATGAGTGCAAAATACCCAGCGTAGATCAGGAACTAAAGGGGATGGGGAAAGAAGTAATGTAGAGAATTATCAGTTAGAAGATGAGATGTTTTATTTTATATATGTGAACATATCCTTCTAATTAAAGGTATATTCAGTTTCTCAGTAAGCCTTTACAAAACACTGTACACTTATACAACCTGCCAGGTACTGACAATAAAACGAGGTAGCACAGCATGGTGGGACTAAAGCCTGACCGCCTCAGTGCGGCTCCTGACTCCATCCCTTACTAGCTGTGTGACCCTGACTGAGATACTTCATCTCTGAGCCTCAACTTCATTTACAAAATGGAATTCACAACACTCCCTATTTTACAGGGTTGCTGGTAAGGGATGAGATCATGTATGTTAAGTGTTTATTAGCACACAATGCTAAGGCTGCTAATACTACTGCTTTTTTTTTTCTTATTTTTGTGGCTGTTATTGTTACAAATGAATCATGGTCTCTACCCCCAAGTTGGTAGGTTAAGTGTGAAGAGCAGGCCAAATTCTGAAGATAAAGAACTTCTCTTCTTCACCAGAGGAGGGCAGTAGAAAGTCAACTATATTCCATCACGGGATTACCTTTTACTTTTCATACGCATCTTCTCTAGGCTAATATTTGAATGTGACTATATAGTTTATCAACATCTTCATCATGATCATCATCTTAAAAGAACTTATGAAATAACTATCAGCTGGCTCATGAGTGCCATACGGGTGCCACTGTAAGTCTTCGAGCCAGGTTCTTTAAAATACATTTTAAAGGATACATTTTCCTATAGGAAACCTGCTGCTTAATTATGGCAGTTAAGAGTTTCAGCAGAGCCTACACAATTCGAGAATTAGTAATTTTTAAACCCACTATTTCTATAGCAGGATGATAAGCACTTAGTTTCTCTCCTACCCTCATTCCAAATCTAAGCACCTAACCCTTGAGAGGTCTTCTCAAGGTTATCACTGCTGGTAGTAATTGGGGAACATAGAGAAAGTAATAAGCTCCCACTCCTCTGCTCCCCCAGCCCACCTTTGTGAGGCAGTATGATCCAGTGAGGGATGATTAGCTTTAGAGTTAGAAGCTGGTTTAAATCCCAGCTTTGCCACATCATTACTGACCGTGAGAACTTAAACAACACTTTACAATACGTAACATCTCTCAGACTCATTCTCTCGATGTCCAAGCCTGACGACAACCTTGCAAAATGCTATACGGAGTACCTGGCACACAGAAAGCACTCAGTGCACATCAGCTACTATGATTATCATTTCTGTTAGATCTCTTTAGTAAAAACAAAATTAATTACTGCTACCATGTTGGGCCTTTATAACTAGGCTGGGATGGGGGTGGGGTAGGCACTTTTTGATTCAACTGCCCACTTTGCCAGAGTACAGAGCAAGCCCCACCTACGAACTCAACTCAACGCACGAAGGCATATACGACCGTGCACTTCCTGAATGAACACAAGTATCCACAATGTTACAGTGTGCAGCTGTCTCCTCGATGCGTCACTTGTGAAGAATCTCCATGCTATTCAGCAGCAGCAAGTCACTACCCTGGTATTTGGGTGGGTGGTATTTTTGATAAAGAAGGGAGGAAACATACAGTACTGTGAGATGGAGCAGAGCATCTCAAACACGGGATACAGTGTTCCACGCACCGAATTAAAAATGGAAGGAAATACTGGATGAGGAAGCAGAAAAGCTCGGCCTGGAAGGAACCAACATTACTTCTTGGCTCTACCAGGCTGTTGAGTAATGTTCAGCTCAGAAATGTTCTAGGTCCCCATCAAAAAGATGATGGTCCCAACATCCTCCAGGGAGAAAAGAACTAAGGATGGGGGTTGACTAAAGGAAGGAGGGAACACTTCTACTTTTTATATCTGTCTACACTGTTTGAATTTGCTTTCATTAAGATTCACTTGGTCACCCTGATCGAGTGATAACATCTTGAATGTCGAAACAGAAATCTTACCTGAGTGGTGATGTCTAAGCCAAGGCCACTGGAATCCACCACAATGAGAGTGAGCAGCGTCTGCAGGGCCAGAGCAATGAAGGTGTTCACACCAAACACCAGGGCATAGCGCTCCATGCTGAGGTTAGCAGCAATCTGAAAACTTAAAAAAACAATCCACAAAGGAAGAATGAATAGGTAAGAATCACTTCCGAGGTAGTTATGATTTCTACTTCAGCTGTGAAGAGTAGCCCCTTCTTTCTACTCTCATTTCCCTTCCCAACCAGGTGAAAAGCATGTTGTTGCTAAGTGGTGTAAACCTCATGCAAACTTCTGAACAGAACAGGAATATACGAACAAGGAAATAAATGAGCCTTACCTAAGTGCTTCCTCAGGAGAAAAACATAAAATACAATGCTTCCTCCTGTTTGCCTCTTCTAACTAGAAATTTTAATTGGTTTGTAAAGAAACCGAAAAAGTTTATCCTGTCACAACTTTTCCGAATGCTTCTTTGACTCAAAATACATACGTTGCTATAGTGATGAGTAACATGTAGATGATTCTGAAGACCACATAGGATGTGTAGCACACCCAGATGTTGCACACAGTATCCATGATATACACGGAGGCAGCAATCACCAGGGAAAAGAGAGACAGCGTCATCTCCCCCCACGTTGACCAGGATATTTTTACGTAACCCACTGCAAACACGGCAACAGCGCCTACAGAACAAAACAGAGAAAACTGATCTAGTTATTTTGCTAAACAAATGCTCTTTTAATGGATTAAAAATTCAGCTTAGATTATTAAATTTTTTAAAACCTTGCAACTTATAAATAGGGTAGCTCAAGATTAGGGAGTGCCTTGAAAGTCAGGCATAGAATTTGGACTTGATGGAATAAAGAACATGGAGCCACTGAGAGACGAGGAGAGACTGAATGAGAGCAACTGATAGTGAGATGGAAAAGAAGGACACAGACCCAGGGATGCTGCTGAGGAAAAGCTACTGAGGCTGGCGCAAGGCAGGAGTCACAAAGAGCCACTGCTTCCAGCTCAACAATGTGGCAGGAGGGATCACCCCCTCTCCTAACCGAGGAGCTGTTCAGAACATGGCAAAAGGGCATCCCTGCTCTTTGGTAACATGACGAGGCTGATAACGATAGCTAAGATGTGCTGAGTGCTTTCTAAGTGCCAGACACAGTTGTAAGTGTTTATAGAAATCATGGGATCGCTTCTAAAAACCTTAAGAAGTAGGTCAACAAACTAGAAAGGGTCGATAGAATACAATGGTCAAGGACACAGGCTCTGAGTTCAAACCCTAACTTTACTACTTACCATCTATCTGATCTTGGGCAGGTTATCAACCTATCGGTCCGTGTTTCCTTAACTGTAAAATACGGGTAACAACTGTACGTATCTCAGGCATTTTGTGAGGACTGAGTTAATATACATAAGTCCTTAGAACAGCACTTACTGCATATTAACACTCAACATATAGGAGTCATTCCTATAAACTACTGTAGATTGCCATTCAAAGTTTCACATCAAGTGGCAAAAGCACCCTATAAATACAGAGATAATGGAAACCTGAATAAGAAGACAATTTTGAAAATCATTTACATTAGGCTTCCCTAAAAGACAAAGAATTCAAGTTTGTTAATCATGCTCATCCACAACTTGAGCACTGCTAAATTTCTTCCTAAATTACAAAATCAGAACTCAAAATAAAGAAACCATTCCTTGGGGTCACTTCAAATTTAGGAGGGGAGGGGAAATCTGATTAACGTTGACCAAACCACCAGAGGGAGAACCACCGCCCCGCCCTGCTTACCTAGGAGGGTGGACACGGCCTCCACACCACCGTTGTAGATAGCATCATTGCGAGAGGGCATCACCTTCTCCCACAGGCCCTGTGTGTAGTTCACCACTTGGAAATAGCCACAGGTGGAGAGGGCCCACCACACAGACCAGCAGAGCAGAGGGCGGGAGGAGTAGCACATCAAGAAGTCATTCCACAGGACCTTCAGCACAAGGAGATGGTCTGGCTTGGGTTCCTACAGAGGAAAAGGGGAAGAAAGCTCAAATACTAGGAAGGCAACCACAGAAAACAACTGTTAGAGACTTCATTTTCTATCTGACAGACATTTTTGTCCTTGTGAAAACCAACTGCTTATTTTTATGCATACAAACGGCATAGAGGCATACTCCCATTTTATTGCGCTTCCCTTTACTGCACTTTGCAAATACGTGTTTTTAACTAATGGAAGGTTTATGGCAACTCAGTGTCAAGCAAGTCTATCAAGAGCCAGGTTTCCCACGGTGTTTGTCACATCGTGTCTTTCTGTCACATTTTGATAATTCTCACAATATTTCAAACTTTTTCTTTATTATACTTTTTATAGTGATCTGTGATCTGTGATCTCTTATGTTACTACTGTCATTGTTTTGGGGTGCCATGAACAGTACCCATATGAGATGGCCAACACAATCAGTAAATGTGTGTGTTCTGTCTGCCCTACCGACTCGCCACTCTCCCTCTATTTCCCTCTTTTCACGCCTCCCTGTTCCCTGAGGCATAACATTGAGATTAGGTCAGTTAATAACCCTAAAATGGCCTCTAACAGCACCTTCTGCTATGCTTTTGTTCTATTTCCTTTGCCTAGAATGTTCTTCACTATTCTTCTATTCAAATCTTATCTGACTCCCAAAGTCTATCTCAAACAACAGGTCTTGCAGGGCATGAGAACCTCCAGATGTGACCACAACATTTGAGTAGGTATAGTTGGGTGTTTGCAAGGCCAAGTTACAGTACCACGCATTTCTCAGCCCTGTTGTGCACAGAGGGAGACTAGTTTGTAGCCAAACAATGGCTAGGATGGAAACTTCCAAGCGTAAGTTTGCTTCTTTTATTAAGTGCTTCTGAAGGACACAATCCCAATACTAACTCTTGCTATGAACAACAAACATTTACATGATGAAAAGGAGACTATCATTATCTCCTCAGCTGTTGATATTCCATTATCCGAAACACAGTAAAAACATATAGGGTGAGACTTAAGCGATGGGAACAAATAATGTACATTTGGTTTCAAGAAAAAAAAAAACAAAAACAAAATATGGATCAGGTAAGAACTGGTACTATTGAGGTAGGTTTGCAATTTAGCAACAGTGAAGTTCTGACCAAACATAAAAAGCTTCTAGGACACTCTCTCTCCTGCTCCGGCCTGTTGTGCACTTACTCTGCTCCCAGATCAGTCATTCTTGCCTTGGCCTGGTATCTCACTGAGCCGTCGTTCCTAAACCGGAAAGTAGGGCATTAACCACCTGTTAAGAGTTGACCTGTCTGGGGCGCCTGGGTGGCTGAGTTGGTTAAGCATCTGCCTTTAGCTCAGGTCATGATCTCAGGATCCTGGGATCGAGCCCCGCATCGGGCTCCCTGTTCCGCGGGAAGCCTGTTTCTCCCTCTCCCACTCCCCCTGCTTGTGTTCCCTCTCTCAGTGTGTCTCTCTGTCAAATAAATAAATTAAAATATTAAAAAAAGAGTTGACCTGTCTTTTGCTACTGTTTCGGGGAGCGTACACTTATCTGAAGTTCAAGGGCACTAAGCTGTAACAGGGAAGGGCACAACCATGTATGGCTACACACTCTCTCCCCTCATCCCAACTCAGATACATCCACTGGCCGGGGTGTGACTGGAGATATCCAGAGGGAATGGTGTGCAACAAGGAGAAGGCAGACTATGTCCTTCACGTGAGTCTCTATACAATTCTGGCTTTGTGCTTGGGGCCAGCCTGGAGGGAAAGGGGGCCCACTGTCCCAACACAGACCTCCCACCAATCACTGTCACCATTATCATTTCTTTAGATTCTGAAAGCCATTTTGACATGGAAAGACATAGGAAGATAAGTATCACATACCATGGAGCAAAAAACCCCATGCAGTTATGAAAGTCCATGTAGACTGTAATTTCATGTACTATAAAATGTATACCTATGAATACATACTTAGGTATATATGAAAAGAGATGTTTAGGAAGGTCACTAAACTATTAATAGTGGTCATCTACTATTGTGCTAGCAGATCAGATGATTCTGACTTCTTTTTATGTAGTTTTCTTTTACTGTTTAATTAAAAAATGAAGTATAAATCTTTTTATAAAATCAGATTTTTTCCTATTAAGATGATATGTTTATTAGCTATATATTGTATCCATAGGGACTCTTGAAATTAAGTAAATAAAGGCCATTTTCTCCCTAAAATGAGAGGATAATCTCAGTGGAATGAGAACCAAGCAATGCTCCATAGTTATGCCTACTCACACCATCCCTAAATTCAACTCCTACTCATTTATCACGATGGGCATCTTGCTTCAGATTTCACTTCAAGAAAGGGTTCTGACTCGGTGTTATAAACAAAACAACAACAAGAAAAAACCTTGGAAAAATTATTTCTCTTCACCAAGGAACAGGAGTCTCTAATACAGTGGTTTCTGAAGTCAACTGCATCTGGGTTTGAATTTTGACTGTGCTTTCTATGTGCCTTTGGGTGAGTTATCTGATGTAAGCTTCCATTCCCTCAACTGTACAAGGGGGACAGTGATACCTACATCAGAGTTTTTTATAAGGATTAAACGAGCTAATGAATCTAAGATTCTTAGCCCAGTATCCAAGTACCCAGGTCAAAATAAATGGGAGCTGAGGCAATAATGAGGATAAAGAAAGAACAGCGGGAGCACACCTGCCTACACGCAGATGGAAAAAATTTCTAAATCTTAGGCTTTTTACTATAAAATGAAAATTAACGTTTATTTCAACAGGCTTTTGGAAGAACTAAATGGGTGTTACTCAGTAGGTAGCAAGTGCTCACTAAGTGCTGATTTCCTTTGTACTCTATCATGACCCATTGATACAAGCAACGAATATTTACGAGTGCCCATACTGCATGTTTGGCGATAGATTCTGGGAATACAGCAGAAAAGTCCCTGCCCTCATTAAACTGACATTTTGGTAAGGGAGATAGACGATAAACACACACACATGAGAGAGTTTACAGGAGGAATGATACTATGAAGGAAAGAAAGAAGGTAATGGGCTGGCAAGGGACCGTGGTAGAGAACAGGAAGGACAACGAGAGTGTCGAAAGGCTTTCTGAAAAGCTCATGCCTGAGTTGATACCTGAGTGAAACATGGAACCAGCCATGAAAATCAGAATGAAGGGCAGTCCTGACTGAGAATCTTCGGGCTGAAGTTCCAAAGTGGGAATAAGTTTGATGTGTTTCAGTCAGGTCCAGGTGGAGCAGAGCCGTGAAATAAGGCCAGATTGTAGGGGGTCTCAAGGCCACAATGCGAGTTTTGGATTTTCTTCTACATACCACAGGAAACTATGTGGGGGTGAGGGATAGGATAAGTAGGGTTTAATGCCTAAACTGTGAAGATTTAAGTCAAGGGCAGGTGACTGCAATTAAACCACTTCTATGACATTATGTGTTCCTAACTATACGGGTGACTGGACCGGAAAGGACAAGGTGTTTGTGTCATGCCTGGCAATCTGAAGAAAAATGTACCTTCAGATCAATCAGCTCGTAAAACTCAGTATTCTAGAGCTAAGGAAAGTTTAGTGATCATCTGATTGAACATTCTACGTTTAAGAGTAGCCTCAGTTAAAGAATTAGTGGTAGAATTAGTACCGGATTCTAGTGACACCTTTCATAAAGTTCAGAAGACCAAGGGGAACCAATTCAAAGTGAAAGATTATTTGCAGCCTCACAATAACTATCTGCAGTGAAGGCACAAAGCTGTTCTTGATTAGTCAGTCTAATGATAAAGATGATAACAGAAATGAATATTGATTACCTACTACAAATATTCACTTGAGACCCTTACATTGCCTCTAAATTTAACACTCGAAATAACCTGGTGAGGTAGACAGAAGAATGAGAAAGAAACTAAAGTCTCAAAGAATTAAGTAACTTGCCCAAGATCACCCTGCTGGTAAGTACCAGAACGCTGGTTTTATCTTCTTCAAAATCCACTATGGTGTGCTGCTAGAAATTACAGTAAGTACAAAGTGGAAACATTAATGTTGCTACGCTCAAACACACACATACACAAAGAATGCTTACTCATCATAAAGGGTATCAGTCTACAAATAAAAGTATAGTTAACAGGTATTGGTGTCAGGCCCTGTGCTAAAGAATTGGCTTAATTTCTATCATTTCTAATGGATGAGCAATTGAAAATAAACCAGGTCCAATTATAAGCCAAGCACAGAAGGAATCCAGTTTCCTATTTAGGAAAGAGAATACCTGGCCTTGCTGGAATGTCAACACACTCTGCCCCACAGCAATAGGCTCATTCTGAAAAGAACTCACAAATACTGTAAGGTAACTTGTGGACGGGGCTGTCACTTTGACTCCTACTTCATTTTCCCTTTCCATAAAGTCAAGATCAAACTACCCACCCACCTACCTACTCTTCTTTACTATATTTACAATTATGATTTACAGTTCGGTTTTGGGCTCTGCCAACTTAATATGGCGCTGCGATCCCCAATTGCCATATTCTGACTTCCTTCAAACTTGTCAAGAGAAACAGCACTATTTTAGCCCTATACAGCTGCCAAGGATATGATGGAACTGACTTGCTTCTAACTTTTACCACACTGTAGCCAGCCAACATGATGGTTCTGACCATGTTGTCGCCCCAGTGAAAGGCTTTATGTAGCAAAGTACAGATCAAAGTGGATCTCATATATGCTCTTTAATGATGTCACAGAGTCTATCAGTGCAATTCTGCACAAGTCACTAATCCCTGTTCCCAATCCTTATCTCTAAAATGAGAAGGTTGATGGCATCTAAAGTCCCTTGTGACTTTAAGATATTCTAACAGTCCTACGGCCTGTGGTTAGAATCACTTCAACCTCTAAAATTTCATAATTCTTCAGCATGTCAAATACTAACATTTTGCATTAGGTATAAACAGCAAATGTCAAGTTGGTCTAAGACAGAGTTGAGTTTTTCAAATGGTCGGTTACAACTCATTAACAGGTAATAAAATCAATGTAGTGGGCAGTGATCTGCATTGTAAAAAATGAAATGAATAAAACAAATAATATACTATATGTTAAATCTAAGTTACAAATTAAAACTAAAATAAAACAGCCAAGTTTTTATCAAACAAATGAATTCATCAAATTACCGATAAAGTATTGTGTTGTAAAACCTCTGCTTCAGTTACATAGAAAATATATACACACTTACAAAGTGGAACTTGTTCCTGTGTAAGATGTTTCTTACTCATGTTCAAAATGGTTTAAAATTTACTGGTCTATACAAACCTTTAGAAGTATGGCCAATGTTAATATTTAAAATATATAGAGATAGGTATTATGCATATGTCTGTACGTACTAATTTTAGCTAGTCATTTTAACACATTTGAAACAGAATTTTAAAAGGGTCCTTATTCTTTTTCTCTACTACATAAGATCAGGTGATTTTAACTTTCCCTCCTCCATCAACCCTTTGTTGACTTGCCAACATCTTATGTTACACTTAACAAACTATGGAGGAATCAGCATTGCATTCCTACTTAATCCCGGGAATCTGACTGATGCTGCTACAGGTGCCCTAGTAATCAAAGTAAGTTTCATGACCAGAGTCACCTAGGCTCAAGCTCTTTGGGATGATAATATAAGTTTCAACTAGTAACCACAAGTGAAGAGCGGGGATAGGCATCAGAGAGCAATTAGATGCCACATGGAAACAATCCGAGTTAACTCTGGGGGGGAGCCGAAAACCACTCATGTGGGTTCTCTACTCATTCAGACTACAAGGCTTAGAGAGCTCAGTTTTATGACTGACAGAGCCCACCAGCAGAGTGAGAATGTTAACAGGTTATTTCCAAACATGCCCCATGAAACTTAAGACTAATTCAGTATGGTTGGAATGAACCTTGCCCCTCACAGCTTATAACCTGTTGGAAATTTTTATAAAGAAAGGTGAATGATTGGGGGAAGCAATTAATCTTCCTGGCTAGCCAGAACGTATGGATGGATTATTCTGATGCTATACCTAAGAGACAATTTCAGAGTCACACTTTTAATATGTATTCCAGCACAGAAGAGGAAGTTAAGTTCCTAAACTTAAATACTTTGGGTTTCAATTCAGAAACTAGAAGTAGATATTCATCATTTATTGGAATCATTCCATCTATTCATTAAGCAAAACTTTCTGAGTGCTTTCTTTATATACCAAGTACCGGGGATAGGAAGACATCTCTGACACAAGCAATATAATGTTGTGTAGTCTGACTCTGGAGGTCATTCACTCCAAATATATTTGTCATCCCTTATATAAATCAACCTTACCTTTAACCAATCAGTGAATGAACCAATGGACCAACTCCGGATAAAAACCTGAATCCAGATGAGTACAAGGTCTAGAAAGAGGGGGTGTCCCGTCTGTTTTGTCACCACTGCTCTAGCAACCACAAGACCTTTAAGGCTAAACTTACCGGCTCCTCCTTATTTAGAGGGATTTTTGACTCAATGTCCTCCCAGCCAGGAAGGTGGTCAGAAGCTGAGGTGTTGGTTACAATGCCGCCATTTTGTGCCTTGATGCCATTCATTCTCTGGCAAGTGGAAGGAACATGGTGAAAGAAAAGGCTCTTCTGTGGCATAGGCAGAAACCAGGCCACAGCAAAAGCCACAGAAACACAGGTAAGAGAGATGACATTCAGACTGAACAGGGACCAGCCTGCCACGGAGACGAGGATTTGCCCCAGGACAGAGCCCACAGTAAAGCCCACCAAGGTGGCACTCCGACAGTAACTTGTGACTTTCTGGTACATGTTGAGGTCTACCACGCTGTAGATATAGGAGTAATAGGCAATTTCAGTGGCTGTGGCGATGCCATAGAAGAATTCTAAGAACTGAATGGCCAGCAGTCCTTGGGCGTAGAGCAGCATGAACCATGTAACAATAAGGCTGAGTCCCTGCAGCAGAATGACAGGCTTATAACGGAGGTAGTCTGTGGCAAGGAACACAGGGAACAGCAGCACCAGGTAAGAGTAAGTCCACACTGGATAAATTTCATTTAAGACCTAACAGAAAAAGAAAATTTAAAACCCATTAGTGATTATCAACAGACCTGGAATATTCGTAACAATTTATTCTTATAAAACAACCTACCAATACCTCTAATAAATCATCCTTATCAACCAAAGAGCTCTCAACAACAATTCTGATAATTGTTTGGCACATACTTCCCCATTTTCACCCCATCATCTTTTTCTTAAAATCCTCCCCCTTCCTCAAGGCCTGGCTGGAAGCCGTCCTCACCCCGGCAGCCTTTGCTGAGCTGACAGTGTTCGTGGAGCAACCCTGGGAGCTCCCCTGACCTTTGTGTGTGCCCGTCCCCCCACGTCCCGCACAGCACTGCTTCCTAACCGAGGCCGCACATCTCCCATGGAGCTTTAAAAAATGCGGATGCCTAGCCAACAACCTCCCAGGAGACTTTTGTCTGAGCCAGAGCTGGGGACCACTGCCTTAGAGGGCAGACTCCTGAGGGCTGACTCGCCCTCTGACACTGACCTGCACAGCCTAGCAACCAGCAAGTACCTGTGTGGAGGGTACTTGGCTCAATAACTGTTTTGGAAATAGGTTTAAGTGTTTGGGAATCATCATCAATTCTCCCTTCTAGCCACAGAATTAGGGCTAGAAAGAGGGGGTGTCCTGTCTGTTTTGTCACCAATGCTCTAGCAACCACAAGACCTTTAAAGCTAAACTTACCGGCTCTGATTAGGTTTGATTAGGTTTCTCTGATTTTAAGTTTTATTGCTTCGGGGGAACAGGTAAAGAGGATAATTCTGTCCTACTCTTGAGAGAATAATTATCTGTGGATGATAGGATTATTGGCAACTTTGATGTCCTTCTTTTTGCTTGTCTATCATATGAAAAGGATAAAGTTTTGGTGTTTAATGGATTTTTAAAATTGGAATAAAGTAGACATAATCTCTAAAATAAGCTCTCCGCCATACAGACCCCACTGGGGATCTCACCCCCAACATTCGATGTGTGATTATCGACAAGTTTTTGTTTAGCTCCCTTTAGGTTTTGTCTCCATTACCAGTAAAAGCAGCATAAACCCTCCACCACCGGGTTGTTGTTGCAAGGATTAAATGAGAGGATACAGGCAAATCACTCCCTCATTGTATTTAGAAGTCGAGACTTGAGGACTGAAGCTGAAACAGACTCTCCGGGACGGGACGAATGAGGTAATTCAACTGACCTGCCATCCCCCTTCTTCCAGTATCAATCACTATAGGAGACCCTCCCCTCTTTTATACCTACCATGCCTGGCAAGGTCCTGGGGATGTATGTAAGTTGGTTTTTTAAATGATCATTTCAAAGTCTAGATCAGTGGCCCTGATTTTTAAGTGCTTTCTGAAAGGCAGTCTTGGTAACAGGCTGAATACTTTGCCATGGAGCAATCTAATCCTAGACTCTGACAATCTAAAGCCAAGGGCAACTTTCTTTTTAACTCTCATGTATGCTTCAGTTCACCCAAATGTAAAACGGGCTAATTGTGTTCAGGGTTTAGAGGAACAATAAAGTAAACAATTACTGTAAAATCTTTTGCTAGTGCAGAGCACAACTACAAAGGCAAAACATAACCTGAAATATATTCCAGACTTGATTTGTTTTTGATTGGCCAGATATCAAAAGATTTTGCTCTAATAGTCTCACCTTCATGAATTTTAGCCTAATTTGTATTTGCATAAATCATTTAGCAATCTCCACTCGATCAGGAAATTTCTTGCACCTGAATATGGGTATGAAAAGAATAATCGTGACCTGTAGAAAGGACTAATTCAAAAGTGTGTAAATTTTAGTGACCGAGGAACAAAAGTGCACTTGGCTGGTGCCACCACAGCCTATGACACCTCAGCAGAAAACCAAAGGGCACAGATAACTCTCAGATAAAAGCTGCAACTTTTCACAGTGGTGTTCCATTCACGATTCCCCACTCTTTTTTTTGCCTCTGGTTTTATAGACAGTCTCCTCTAGTTTTCTTAAGTGTGAAACTGCCACCTCTAACTCCACACGTTTATTCACCTTCACATTTTCCCAACGTTAGCCGCCATGCCTTTGCTTTACAAACACTCTCCATCACTTCCTTCAATACCCCACGTTCTCTTGTTCCCAACACACCCTTCAGGACTTCGACTTCTTCACTCCAGCAATACTGTCTGTACCGATGCATGTTCCATACCCTTCAATAACGGCTGTCCCAAAATGATTAACTACTAGGTTTTCGTTATGGAAATCTCATCCTTTTAATCAACTTAACGTGCTTATATTTATGAGTCTTATTCTACTCCTAACACAAAACCACAATTAAGGTAATGAAGATGAGGAAAAGTAACCTGGGCAGACCTGCAATGCCAAGTAGGAATAAAATTAAAGGCGGGTGGGGGGGAAGAGATGGGTTCTCTTTAACTCATTCTAAATGAAAAACCTGACTTTTCTCCTATGAGAGCTCAACCCAAGATGAATGTCCCTCTCACAGTGTTATCAGCATTATAATAGCAAATGTCTACTGAAGCACCACACACTATGCTAATTGCCTCACCTACCTTACTACCTTACCATTTAATCCAAACAATAACCCTAAGAGGTAGATGCTTTTATTACCTCTGTTTTACAAACGGAGGGAACTTGGCCTTACAGAAAGGTTAAGTAAACTACCCCAAGTTATCACAGCTAGCATTGGCAGAGGGAGGATCAGAACCTTGATATTCTGAATCTGCCACACTAAAATGCCTCATTTCTTCAATCAGAAAACTACTGTTGATCATCTACTATGTTCCGGGGCTACTTCTAATGCTGGCAGCAGCTTTTTCAACCTGTATTAAGGTGCTTTTATAAGGCATTCACGGAGAGATTAAAACCACACATTCTCCAGAGTTTAGCCATTGGGTCTCCAAAAGATCCTTTCCTTTTCAATGCCACCATGGACAAACTGTTACACCAAAAAAATGTTTCTTCAATAGATACTTTTAATCCTGAAGGGAAACTTCCCACATGCAAAAATGTACAAATTACAGACTCTCATTGTCCATAGTCTGGACAATACCTGCTGAATCTCAGGTAAAATCTGCCATGTGAGCGAAGGGAATTGATTTTATCATAAGGTGCCTTTCACCATTCTTTGGATCAGAACTTGTTTGTGCTTTCTTCTGAGAGAAAGTCAAGAGAAAACATGTTCATTTTAAGCTCTAATTCGGATTTAGACTTTATTTTAGAATCCAGTTTCAATTAAACAACTAGTTAATAAACTCTTATTTGCACAATATTTTAAGCTGTGTGGATTACAAAAAATAAAATAAAACAAAGCCTCAGTTCTTCAGGAGTTCTGAACCTAATGAGCAATATATATTCATACGTTACTGATAAGAGAGATAGGAAATGTGGGGTTACTTCCTTGAGGTGGACCTTGAAGGAGGAGAAAGTTAGAGGCTAACAGAAACACAGCCACAGATAGGTATAGGAAGCTTATTCAAGCAGAGATCACAACTTTGAGTACAGACTGGTAGATGAGAGACTGGATATGCTGGATTTATGACTAGAAGATTGATGTGGATGGCGTGTGGGCGTGTGGGCACGTGGAAGATGCAAGGAGAGGAAAGATGTAGCAGGAGATAAGGCTGTTAAGGAAGATAAGAACCAAATTTTGTAGGACTCCGAGTATCAGACAGAATAGGTAGAAAGTTTTTTTTTTTAAATCAAAGAAAGGTAGTGAATGTCTGTCAAATCACATGCGAAAAAAGATGAAAGAATAAAAAAATAAAAAAATTAAAAATTGGAGATACAGAGCTCTATTTTATTAAAAGTTTGGCTTCATCTATTAGAACACAGTCCATTTTTAACCTCTTTAAAACTTAGAAAGTCTGTGTGCCGGGGGCGCCGGGGTGGCTCAGTCATTAAGCGTCTGCCTTCGGCTCTGGTCATGATCCCGGGGTCCCGGGATCGAGCCCCACATGGGGCTCGCTGCTCAGCAGGGAGTCTGCTTCTCCCTCTCCCTCTGCCCCTTCCCACCCCCCCACCCGCTTGTGCTCTCCCTCTCTCAAATAAGTAAATAAAATCTTAAAAACAAAACAAAACAAAAACCTAAGAAAGTGGTACCTGAAACAGGTAAACATTTTTCCTGAAATCTCAAAATCCTTTGAGTGCAGAGGAAGACAGAGGAAATTCTGTCCCCCTTTTCCTTCTTCTGCCTTTGGACTTGGTTAACAATAGCTCCATTTAAGATGATCTAAGCTGGTCCTTCTAAAGTTTTACAAGTAAATACAAATCTCAACACAAACATCACTGACCATGACCTGACATTCACTTTGCCTAAAAATCATGTAATATTTTTTTATTAACTGTCCACTGGTGAAAGCAATCATTAGGTCAGAAAGCAGAACAAGTTGTTCTATTTATTTCAGTTACTAGATATTTTAAAAACCCAGGGTTCCGGAGAGGGTCAACAGAGCCATACTGTGCACGACCACCAGCATCAGCCAAGGTCTAAGGTCCTCATAGACAAATGACCTCCTTTCTAGACCACTAAATTTCTTTTCAAACTCTGCCCTCACCCTCCACCCATAACAGAAATTGTGCTATGTGTTTTACCAGGTCTAGCACCCTTGTTCTCTACTCCAATGCCGCTGAACGTATTGCAGTCACCCTAGAAAGCTCTCTGATTAGACAGGGCACATGATGACACATGACATAACAACTCCTCTGCCCAGGGCATATGACAAAACAGATCAACTTTCAAATATCAATGTGGGTGGGACCAAGTTTTTCCCCGTGCGCCCCTCTCTCAAGCAAGGTGCACACACTGTGCAGATCACATGGCAGTTCCCATGAAACTTTCATTGTAAGCAGCTCAGGAAGTATCATTTCTGCTTCAGTGACTGCACCTCAGAGTCAGTGGCTGTCTCCAGAATCACTCTCTCATATTTACTGCAATAATTTTCTTCTTGCAAAATCATTCTGTTCACAATGTTAAAATGTAACCAGTGTTAAAACGGTAACGAGTAACTGTGACTGTCCTTTGTGGGGTGGTCCTTAAGACCGAGAACTAAAAGATCTAAAGTTGGGTAAAAGCCAATGATATTTGCTGGAGTAAGACAATATAAGAAATTCAAATGAAGCCCTCCATCTAGGATTCAACACTGACTTTCAATTCCCTATGTGTCCTTGAAAACAGAGCAGCAAAGCACCAACAAACTGGACTGTGAGTCATTATACCCTGCTCTGACCTGCTCATTATACCCACTATACCCTGCTCTGACCTGTTATGCTGGGATTGAGTTGCTACTCAAAGAGATGATTACTAACCACAGGAAGAAAAGTAAAGTTTAAATGGGAGGGAAGGGAAGGGGAGGAAAGGCAGACATATGAAAAACCGGCTATTCAGTGCCCACTCTGCTTTCACCCTTTGTAGTGTTCTAGAAGGGAATACCAGACCTCCGCTTTCACGCCTGTAGCTGAGAAGCAAAACATCTGTGAACCAAAAATTCACCATGCAAGAAAAACTGTAAGTGCCAATTATGTGATACCATCTCAGTATCTGCTTTTATCCCAGGAGGTAGGGCATGAGGGGGGACAGCATGTCCTTGAACAAAGCCTTACGTAATTAATAATCAAAACAAATTAAGATGATGGATTTTTGTTTGTTCTGTTGTCCTTATTTGAGTACATCCATCCTGTCGAAGGTAAACAAAGTAAGGTATGAGAAGAAAGGGAGCAGCGGGGAGAGGGAAGATTCTTTCAAAAAGCAGGGGTTACTTATAACCTAGCAGCTGGTTCCCTACTTTCAGTCAACAAACATTTACTAACCCTTTCGCACGCCCAAAGTACAACTTGTTTTCACCCTTTTCTCCAAATACGCCGCTGCGCCCCCTCCCGCCGCCCAGCCGGAACTGCTGGACCAATCCGAGCACAGTGCAGGGCAGCAGCATGGGCACTCCGCCTGAAGCGCACGCGTGCTGGGGCTCCCGACGCATGTTCTGAGCCCTTCACAGAAGACATGCCCCATATATCCAACGGACGCCCGAAAACCTGCACAGAGTAGTGCAGCGCCAGCACCGAGCCGCCTTCCGACTGCGAAAAGGCAGAGCTCCCTGCCCAGAAAGCGTCCGGAGGTTCGAGCGCCCTTTTCACTCGCTCCTCTCCTGAACCGCCTCCCCAGCTCCCGCTCTCCGCCGCGCCCGCCGCCGGGCCGCCTCCGCGCCTACCTCCCTCTCCGTCAGGTTCTTGTCGGGCCCCAGCAAGTAGGGGGTCAGGAAGGGCTCGGACGGCCTGAGGCTGGCGAAGAAGCCGTAGGCGCACAGCAGCGCGGTGGGTAAGAACCAGCATTCGCGGGGCATGCGAGCAGTGCGCCGGAGCACGGTGGCAGCCGCCGCCGCCACCCTCCGGGACCCCGGGCCGGGCACATCCATTCGGGGTGCGGAGGGCGGGGACCTGGCCCGGCCCCTCTCCCTCTCCTCCTCCGCCCGCCTCAGTGAGGCTCTAGCGCTGCCGCGGCGCGGAAACCTAGAATCGCGAGCGGCGCTCTTCGTGGCGGAGCCAGGTCGCACAGGGCTAACCGCCGCCTCCGCGGGCAACCCTCCAGTTTTCCCCTGCTGCGGACGCCTCGCGTGTTACTGCCCGAATGCGAGAGCCGCCCCCCAGGGCCATCCCCCTCCCGCCACCGCCCCCGGGCGCACAGCCAATCGCAGCGGACGCCTAGAATTTGGCTTCTCTCCCATTGGTCGCTGACTCAGGGGATGCGAATCGGCGCGGGCTGAGCGCGAGTCCGCTGACGTCCGCCGACCTGCAGGGCTTGAGCTGAAGACATGGAGGACTCCGGCTGCCGAGCCGCGTTTGTCACGGCGGTGAGCGCCAGTTAGGCGGAGCGCCCTCGGCGCACGCTCGGGTCGGCTCGGTGTTCGTCCCTGAGGGCCTAGTCCCCGCCCCCCCGAAAGGAACGCGCTGTTCCACACACTCACTCTCTCCCGCTCTTAGACACCATCCCTCCGGAGTTTATTCAGACTCCTCACGAGAGACTCGCTGGGCTGCCAAGGCCCGGGCAAGATTTAACCTTGGGGCGGGGGAATGCCACACCTTTCCTCCTGCAGCTCTCGTGTCTTAAGTTGCATTCATCTGCCAGTAGAAAGACACTAGAAGCCTAGGATCTAAGCACCCGGGGCGTTTACCAACAGAAGAAAGTGGATAAAACATTTAGAGAATGAACGAGTGCAGTGGAGTCCTATTGAAAGGGCTTCAGCTTTATCTCATTACTTTTTGCAAGCAGGACACCAAGAAGGCAAACATAACTGTAGCTATGGCCTGTGTTTAACAGGAAAGTGGCAAATCCTGAGTCACTAAAGCAATCGAGAAATAACGATCTCTTTATTAAAAAAAAAAAAAAAAGAGGTCTTGGCATAGTTTTCAAGGGCAAAGCATGACAAGAATACCCAGTGCTTTCTCTCATCTCTCTATAAGCCTCTTTCTGCCTGACTCAGCCTGACTCTGTCCCAATCATTCCACTGCAGACCGAGCTGCACCATTTAAAGCAATTTTTTCCCTCTGTAGTATTTGCAAAGTAGCAGATTGTCAGAAGTTCACAGAACACGTGTTTGAACTCTTTTGCTTTAATTTGTTACCACACATCTAGCTCAATTTTCCTCCTGTGATAGCAAGTAACATTTTTTTTTTGCAAGCAGATACATCAACCACAAAAATGAGTCTACCAATGCAACAACCTGCTAGTAAAGGAAAATATTTGTTTTTAAGGCTGCACAAGTGAATGCACCAAAATATGAGTTGATTAATCTAAAGAAATGCAGTTGATGATATTTACGTCTACCAGTGGGCCTCAAAGTGTGATCCAGAAAAATCCTAGGGGTCCCTGGGACCTTTTTAGAGTTCCAGGAGGTCAAACTACTTTCATAGTAATACTAAGACTTTTTTTCCTTTATTTAATAATAAACCTTACTTTTCCACTCTAGAGGCTACCTGATATGTGATTACGTCATAAGAGAATGTGGGCTTGCCTGTTTTTGTGTTTAATAAACTTTCCAGATTTAATTTCTGATATGGTAACGATCAATAGGAATAAGTCACAAAAACAAAGTCTTTAGGATACTAAATAACAGGAATCTTGAGACCAAAAAGCGAGAACATCTAATCTACATAATACAATTTTCTAGTTCCTAAACTGTAGCCATAGTATTTACCTCTCATCATGACTCCAGAGAGAACACCAGTGGTCCTCTTGGCAATTGCTTTGTACATTCAGTGCTTTAGCAGAAGAGAAGGAAAGAGAAGTCTACCTGTTAAGAACAGCTTTCTGTCCCTTCCCTGAGGCTTAGAGACCTGAACTGTGTTAATCTGTAAATCACTGGTTCTGAAAATTTCCTTGCTATAAATCACTTAGGCACCTCAAATCGTCTTTGAAATGTTGGGCATTAACAAATAATAATTGTTCTCGAATTGGGCAGAAAATGTTTTCATTATTTTTCTCTAAGAGGGTATGCTAGGCAGAATTCTAAGAATGACCTCCAGTGACCCTTGCCCTTGTATAATCCCCACCCCTTTGAGTGTGGGGTGGAACCCGTGAATTTGATGAGATAATGCACCTGTGACACAATTATACGACAAACATGAGATTATCCAGGTGGACCCAATCTAATCACGAGAGCCTTTTAAAAGCAGAGAATTTTCTCCAGATGGTAGCAGAAGAGAAAGAGCTATTTGAAGAGTGAGAGAGATTTGATGTGCTGCTGCTGGAGGGGGTTATGTGCCAAGGACGTGGGCTCCCTGTAGCAGTTGAGACTGACTCTTGGTTGACAGCCAGCGAGAATTGGGGATTTCAGTCCTTCGGTCACAAGTAACTGAATTCTGCTAACAACCTAAAAGAGCTGGGAAGTAGATTCTTTTTCAGAGCCTCCAGCCTGTCCAACACCTTAATTTCTGCCTGTGAAACTCTAGGTAGGGAACACGCCCAAGCCCACCTGGACTTCTGATCTATAGAACCATGAACTAAATTGTTGTAATTTAAAAAATAAATAAATAAAAATTTTTAAAAATTGTTGTAATTTTTTAAGCTGCTAAATTTTAGGTAATTTGTTATGCAGCAATAGGAAAGGAATACAGAGGCAAATGGAATATATTTTTTAATTAGGGTAGTAGTCACATAATATAAGATGATCCATTAACTGTCTTTGTATGTACAACTCAGTGGCATTAGTCCATTTGCATTGTTGTGTAACCAGCACTGCTACCTTCTAAGACATTTCGCCACTCCAAAAGGAAACTTGTAGCCATTAAGCGATTGCTTTCTCTTCTTCCCTTCCCCCAGCCCCTGGGGAACCCTAAATGTGCTTTCTGTTTCTATGGATTTACCTATTCTGGATGTTTCATACAAAGGGAATCATACAGTATGTGACCTTTTGTATCTGGTTTCTTTCATTCAGCATAATAATTTTAAGGCTCTTCAACATTGTAGCATGTATCAGTACTTCATTTCTTTTTATGGCTGAAACATATCCCATCTTATGTGTATAACACATTTTGTTTATCCATTCTTCAATGGATGGACATTTTGGGTTGTTTCCTCTTTTTGGCTATTGTGAATAGTGCTGCTATGAACATGAGTGGGCGAGTGTTTGTTTGAATACTGGTTTTCAATTATTTGGGGTACATAGGAGTGGAATTGCCAGATCTTTTTATAATTCTGTTTAACTATTTGAGGAACTGCTGAACTGTTTTCTACGGAGCCTGTACCAGTTAGCATTCCCACTGGCAATGTACAAGGGTTCCAGTTTCTCCATATCCTGGCCAACACTTGTTGTTTTCCTTTTTTTTTTTTTTTAATATCTATCCTAAGGAGTGTGAAGTGGTATCCCATTGTGATTTTCATTTGCATTTCCCTGATGACTAATGCTGTTGAGCACCTTTTCATGTATTTGTTAGCCATGTATATATCTTTTGTGGAGAAATACCCATTCATGTCTTTTGCCCACTTTTGATTGGATTGTTTCTCTTTTTGTTGTTGAGTTGTAAGATTTCTTTATATAATCTGGATATTAGACCCTTGTCAGAGAGATGACAGGCAGATATTTTTGCCTATTCTGTAGGTGTAAATAAACTATTGAGGGACAGGTTTTTCTCTATTAATATATAAAAGCATGTGGGGATGTGTGTTTTTCAAAAAGAATTATGTACTTTCCAATCTTGCTTTCCTCAGGAATAATTTGTAGAAAACACTCCATTGTGATAAGGGTAAGCTCTAATTCTTTCTGATGCCCCATTGTGTGGGTGCACTATAATTTATTTATGGCCATTGACTCTGTTTCTAGGTTTTTGTTCACTGCCCACAATGCTGCAGTTAACATCCTTGTACAATATATGTCTATGTATTGTTTGCTTCATTTTTATGAAATTTATTTCCAGGAGTGGGATAGCTGGGTCAAAGAGTATATGCATTTTTTTTATTTTAATAGGCATTGTTCAGTTGTTTTCCATAAACCAGCAGGATGAGAGTATTTGTTTTGCACTGCATCCTTGCCAACAATAGGTGTAATCAATTTTTTGATTTAATTTTTGCTAGTCGGATAGGTGGAAAATCAGTGGTTCTCAACTTGTAATGATTTTGTCCCCTCCAGGAGACATTTGGCAAAGTCTGGAGATATTTTTGACTGTCATAATTGTTAGTCATGGTGGGTGGTAGGTGCTACTAGCTTCTAGTGGCTGAGCCAGGGACTCTGCTAAACATCCTACCATCCCCAAGACAGCCCCACAACAAAGAGTTATCCAGCCTAAAAGGCCAACAGTGCCAAGGTTGAGAAACCCTGGTATAAAGAGCTACCCCGTTTTATCTTCAGTTTGAAAGTCTTTATGGGTGAGTTTGAACATCTTTCCATATGTTTGTAAGCTATTTGGATTTACTTTTCCGTATTTTATCTATCTTTGTCCTTTGCTCATTTTTCTTTTGGTTGTTTATCCCTATCTTATCAACTAATAAGAGCCTTTTATATTTTATAAACCGTTTGTCCTCTTCATTGAAAATATTATTTTTTAAAATATACTTTTTATTGACTTGTTTGCCAAATAGTCAAATCTTATTGAAGAACATAAAGCAAAGTTTAAAAAAATGGTCACACTATGCCCTTAGATAGGAAAACATCATAAAAACGTTCCTTTCACCAAAGTTAATTTAGGGCGCCTGGGTGGCTCAGTTGGTTAAGCGACTGCCTTCGGCTCAGGTCATGATCCTGGAGTCCCAGGATCGAGTCCCACATGGGGCTCCCTGCTCAGCAGGGAGTCTACTTCTCCCTCTGACCCTCTTCCCTCTCGTGCTCTCTATCGCTCATTCTCTCTCTCTCAAATAAATAAATAAAATCTTAAAAAAAAGTTAATTTATAATCTTAATGTAGTCCCAATTGGAATCTAAACAGTATCCAATTATGGTTTCAAAATTATCTTAAAGTTTATATAGAATACTAAATGTATAAGAATGGCCAATAAAATTTTGCAAAGAAAGACTATCAAGGTATACTTACATCCCAGATATCAGAACATACTTTAAAGGTGCTGGAATTAAAAAAAAAAAAAATGGTAATG